AACCTTGATGATCTTCTTGCACTCGACAACGCCGTACTTGGTCTCGCTGCCTGGATCAGAGCGGGAAACAGCCTGGGCCTTGATGGCATACTCGATATGGGTCATATCCGGGGCCTGGTCGTCAGCCTCCCAGTAACCAATGGTTGGTGGCAAGTACAGGTGCTGGTCCTTGACAGCAGGATTCTCACAACCGTGGTTGCAAGAAGTGATGATGAGCTGGTGGGGGATGACAAAGTGGAAGGGGATGTTGTATGTTTTGCCAGCCAGAAACACCCGATCCTCAGGAAGATACTCGTTGTCGATTGGCATCCGGAGCTTTAGAAACGTCCTCACCGAGTTAGTTGTGTAGGACTGGACAAAGTCAAGTCGGGTTGCGACTGTGCCCGTGAACAAGATGTTGAAGGCATCGTAGCTCAAATCGCGGGGCGACTTGACCACCACATGGCCAGACACATGGGAACCAGAGGTATATGCCTTGGAACTGAAGTGCTGCTTAATTTCAACTTCGAGACTGGGCTTGGCGGAGGCACCAGCCTTGGGGCGAACAGCGCCGCGCGCAGCAGTGTCGACAATACCGGGCATATCAAACTTCTCGTTTTTGATGCGGCCAGTAATCCAGAAATTCCAGATGCTGTAGATATGAAGAGCAGTTGGAAGATGGTAGTTGGGGGCGGTTTGCCTCTTTTTATGCGCTCCTCAATTTGGATGAGGGGACGTATGCCAAGCAAAAAAAAGTGATCAGCTGGCCAGTGGCAGATACAAAAGACAGCTGACGCTCTTTGTAATTGGGTTATGATGATGCGGTGGCTTCCCAAGGGCCGTCAACTGCGTAAGCCAAGTCGTGCGGGGAGATAGGGCAAGAGGTAGATGGTCGGAGGGTGTATTATATAAGTGGTAGGGATGGATGTAATATCAATCAGCGTTTGTCTATACAGAGACTGGACGGAAGCAGGAGAGATCTGATAAGGGAGATGTATAAAGATATATATATTAAGGATTATGGGAGAGAACGACGAGCAGCCATGACGAAGCGGACAGCGGCCAGGCAGGCAGATTATTTATCGTCGTCAAATGCCGGGACGGATTCCGGGGGGGTGTATGAAGGCATCGTGGGTGTGGACGGATCTGAGGCCTTGCACGGTGCACTCCCACTGGCCTGAGTCACCTTCTGGCCCTGATGCCGCTTTTGAAAGTGGGCGGATGGATCGATAATGCTATTAGCCTTTGCACTTGGGCTGGAAAGGAAGCAAAAGAGCAGACCCCAGCTGCTCGCAATTAGGCCACCGCATCCCCCAAAGGCGCAAAGGCCTGAAGGTGGGGGTCATGTGTGTGCAAGCCGCGACTAACTGTGTGAAATTCCAGCTATCGAGATGCCTGTGGGAATGCTTATTGATGCGCATTTCTGTTGTCATCTGTCCGTCAACGGCAGCGCTTCCTTTCTTCCACCGTGGCGCACCCATGATCCCGTAATCCGGTGTGTGCTGAATCATTTCGTCGCACACATCGTCTCGTCTGTGACATCACGCTCCTAATTCAACGTCGCCGTTCTTACCATCGATGCGATCTATATTGTTTAGATCTACGAGATAATGGTGGGAGGCAGGCGGAGGACAATCTCCGACTTGGAGGGACAACAGATGCATTGCATCATACAGGATGCTTCAGTCTCCAGCATGGGCCACAAAACAGGAGGTTTGGCCGTCACATCGTGATCGCGCCTCACGATCGTAAGCACCCGGATGGAGGAGGGGGAGGAGACGGAGGAGACGGCTGGGAACAAGTGGTGCTGATGATTTCACGACTCTGCCTGTCAAAACAAGCATGAAACCACCTAGGCGACAGATCATGGGTGCACAGTCTGTGTGCCTTGCATCCATCCTGATCCGATCTCCCAAGAGAGTAACTGAACCCCAGCACTTGCATCAAGTTCCACTGGTTCCACGCACGCCTCGTTCTCTCTTGGGGACAACACCAGCTGGCTGCTCTGCTCTTCTCCATCGCTTCTCCATCAGACCCAGAGTGGAAGTCTTCAGACACGACGCACGTGTGTCAGGCCAGGCCGGTGGGCTTTCGCGAAGCTTCGTCGATGGGCAGCGGCATTGACGGCCAGGATCTTATTGCCGTCGGACCATTTCATCTCGAGGCGCCCATCCGGGTCAATTGCATGCAATCTGGACCCTTCGCTTGCCCCAAACAGAATCAGTTGACCTTGAAAAAAATTCCTGACCCCTGTTCCTCAACGACCTAAAATAACAACTGCAACTGCCCTTTGCCCAGATTGGCTCACGGTAGCTTCATGGTAGCCTCGCGCCAGAACCAATCTGGACCAGCCGCCATGCTCGAAGCTTCGGAAGACGAGCTACTCGGAATTCTTTTTGGAAGCTCTGCCATGAGCTCCAGCAGCGTCCCGGGCTGACCTGCCTCATGACTGGCTCGCTGACTTGTGCAAGTGATAGTGTGTCAATGCAATGACTCTCGGGCTGGTTTTCTTTAGTCAACGAATCCACTGCTGTCACCATTTGCCGGTCCACCTCTTTCCATTGCTCCAATTTTCGGCTACTGATCTCTCATGGCTTACACGGACTTGCCCGTCCCCCTACCAACCTCCCAGCGCGCGGCGGTGAGGAAAGCAATTATCGCGAGGTTGTGATGCCCAGATCGCGGCCGGTCAGTACTCGTAGATGCCCGTAGAGTTGACTTTCTCCCGAGAGCGGCAGGGGGGCGATCAGAGCGCGCATGTTCTGCTATGCACGACTTTTGATGTGACCACTGCCGGGGGAGGATCCTGGCTGTACATAATTTGCTTTTGGTGCTTGACATTTGGGATCTGGACACCCACATCCACAGTTGCTGCAATGAAGAAACCTGGGGATTATAGTGGCTCTTGGTCAAGAAGCTATACCGCTAAAACCTCGCGCACATCCGCAGTTGCGGGGAGGCTCATGTTCAATACTTTAGCATACGGTAGGTGACCTAAGAAATGGTCCCTTAGATTAGAATTACCTTCAAACCAACAGTCTATGTACTTGGCTTGGACCAGCCTCGCCGTCCCTGACTGAACAGAGTTCCCCCTTCTCTCCTTCCCCCATCCTTCGGTCGGTCCTTCTCGTGGTGGCAGGAAAAAATGATTAATAGGGCATGCCGATGTCGCTTTTCCCTCTCATCTCATCTCCACTGGCAGACACACACGCACGCCACACCCCCAGCCGTACAGTGCAGAACACGTTGGCCATCACATCACGACATCGAAAACAACAGCAGACCTGCGCTTTAGAGCCGCCTTGCCCTGCCGATGCCTGTCCCAGTCCCTGTCCGGCCGCGCACCAGTCGGAGCGCTCGCCCTGCCCATCAAGCAAGCCCTTTACGCTCTAATGGACCCGTCCTTCATGTACGTACCCGTCCCTTGGTGCATTGGCGCGCACTGCTCAGTCTCGCTACAGCCGATCCTAGCTGGTCCCCTGGGCTTGCTTCCTGCACGACTTGCTTGCCGATCCCCTCCTTTGGGTTAGCGACGGCCCACGAACCTGTCATCGCCGCTGTGTCGTCCCCGGGTCAGAGCAGTCTTCCCATCTCGGGAGCCCTCTGTCAGGTCAGATCACGAGCTCGCCTCTTTTTTCCTTCTCTTCAACCTTTGGCTTTTTAGGCTCGTTGTTCGCGAGCCGCCCTCCCGTTCCCGCTAATTCATCCCCGTCTTATTCCACGCCTCCTGTTGTTCCCCAGGCGCAAAAGTGTGCTCCGTCTTTGCGTACTAGCTAATGCCTCCTTTTGGGATCGTGCTCTTCCCACCCACGTTCTCCAGCATTCCTCATCCATTGACTAATAACACGTTCAGCAAAATAGGAAATAACCTCAGAAAGGGGACGTCAGGTGGCTGCTACAGCCACGTACGTTGACTCCGCATGTAACTCGTTTGACCATCATCATCCCCAGCATATGCCTCTCCATCTGTAACAAACAAACAACCTCTAAACCGAGTGCTCGTATCCAATGAGACATGCCTGTTGGCCACGAGGCCATCGTTGTCTTCCAATGCTTGCTCCCTCACCTCCTTCTCTGGTCTAACCCAGGAACGGAAACTTATCAAAAGCCATTCTTACATAGCCCAGCACATTCTCCAGTTCTCACCGTCCATGGTCTGTGGGTTGTGAAAAAAATGTAAATCACATTGCATCCATCTGTCCAGAACTATGGAAACCCACTGCCAGATCTAGATAAATCCCCATAAACAGGCCCCGAGTTAAGAGATGCCAATTATATGCCCTTTATGGCAGGCACGCCTTAAGTGACATCTTAAACTGCAGGGATCACCAGTCCAGACTGCACGCCCTCATAGCTCCCTTCATAGGTTAGTAGTTGAAAACCACAAGGTAATGGAAGCAGCTTGAACCATTGGGACTCCGCGGCCTCCTCGCTCACCGTAGAAGAAGAAAAAAGACCCTGCGTGTGCCAAAATTCCCTCTCGCCTCATGGCCATGGCCGTGTTGGGATACGCGCGCCGGGTAGAGCCGCCTCTCTGCATGCTGCCATGCCCCTTCGCTCGCCTGAATGGCTTCCCGAACCGCGTCTCGCCCATGCCCTTGCCCTCCTGCGTTGTGGGCCGGCAGCAGGACCCTGAAGACGCCATCGACAAGTCACCACCTTGCCGGCCTCGCTCGGTTATCAATAGCGCCATGTTAGGCCAGACGCCAGCAGGATGCCAGAATGGAGAAAGCCATGATTCTGGAATGTGGAATGTGATGGAGCAAACCTCGTAAATTAAACTTCTATCAATGATATCCGCTAACCAGACATGCTATAACATTTTTTTGGCTCCCGCCCAACACGTTTTATCCCACACCGCCGGTATTTCTGAAATTGCACGCCGCCCTCTAACCAACCCTATTGAACAACAACCAATAACTGTTCCAAGTCAAGCCGGGTCACTCTTCGTTTCTTCTTCTTCTTTTTTTTCACTCGTATAAAGACCCAGCCGTTCTTCTAAACTCGCTAGTCTATTCCGTCTATTCATGCCAGGAGATGTAGAGCATAATACCGGCCCCAACGGCCACAGCCGTGAACTGGACGAGGGTCTTCTTGAGCTCCTCGCCCTTGTTCTTGCCCGTCTCCAACAGCTCAGGGATCACGGCCACGGTGCCGACGTAGAGGAAGGTTCCTGCGGTGAATGGCAGAAGCATGTCTCCCCAAGTCTGGAAACTCCCAAGTCAGAATCAATTCTCAACCAACTACACCCCACACAGCGGGTGTCAATGAAACAAGGGCGAGTTCTGTACTTACCAAGCTAGTGCCCCAGAGCCCAGCGGTCCTGGCCATGGGGTCGTCACCCGCGGCCGCTCCGTTGCCACCAAACTCCTGCACGGCAATGCCAATTAGAGTACCCAGCAGAGCTCCGATGGCAGTGATGAACTGGGATCCCATGGCCGCCCGCTTCGAGAAGCCAGACTGCACAAGGAGGGCAAAGTCGCCAACCTCGTGGGGGATCTCGTGGAAGAAGACGGCAACGGTGGTCGTAGCGCCAATAGTAGGCGAGGCATAGAAACTAGCAGACATAGCCAAACCGTCGGTGATGTTGTGAGTGAAATCGGCACTAAACAACAAACCCCATGTTAGCCACCATCTTAGACTAGGAGAGAGGGTAGAAGGGTCGAAAGAAGACCAGGTGGGCATACATCAGATTCAAGTAACCGCCGAGCTTCACGCTGGGGTTAACCTCCTTCTTCTCGACAACGGCGTCCTCCTCCTTGGAGCCCTTGCCCTTCTTCTTCCTCGACACGGCGCCCCCGTTCGAAGCATCAGCTCCCGTAGCGTGCCCCTCGCTCTTGCTCTCCGCGTGCGTGTGCTCATGCCCGTGCGAGTGGTCATGCCCCGCGCCGCCGGTCGCGATCCGGAGCCCCTTGTCCATGGCGACGAAGACCATGAACCCGACCAGTATGCCCAGGCCGAGGAGCAGGTTGCGGTTGGGCTCGACGAGCACCAGGCGGATGCGCTCGGGCTCGTCCTCGCCGAGGAAGATCTCGGGGAGCAGGTGGAAGAGGGTGTCGCCCAGGAGCCCGCCGACGGCAAAGGCCACCATGACGGAGAGGGACGAGGGGTCAATGTCGGTCGGGCAGAGCGCGAGAAGGAAGTTGGGCGGGCCGGAGATGTACAGGGTCGCGAGGAGGGCGTTGACGGCGGGGGAGCCGGGGAAGAGGACGGCAAAGAGGCGCGTGGTGAGCGAGGACGGGGCCGCGGAGTGTTTGGCGTGTTTGGCGGCATTGAGCTCCTGGACAATGGGGCAGGTCTATGTAGCGAGGAGGGCTGTTAGCATCCATTCGCCTGCTCGTCGGATCATGTTCCCAGGGGGGCTCAAACCTGGAGTTGCTCGTCGAGACCATCGAGGCTCACGCTGTCCAGGAGGGTTTTATCGGCGGCCTTGTGAGCATGGACGAGAACTACGAAAAGCGCCAGGCACACGGCCAGACGCCCCAGTCGAGAAGATAGAGACATTTCTGGGAAAGTAATGTGCAGCGTAGCAGAAAATGAAGTCGAGCTGCTACGTTGGGGGCCGGGAGAGGAAGATTCTCCGCATCCAAGGTAACGATCAGATAATCAGATGTGTTCACAGGAGACAGATTTCCCGATTCGGCTTACAGGTCTAGTGGTGTGGAAGCTTTCCCGCGCACCACCGTTGTGACCAGGCGCGTCTTGGTCCGAGGTACAGCTAGAGCTTGGGTACCTGAGCACAGAGAACAATTTTGCTCTCCCCTCCCTCCGCCCTCCAGCCAATCACGCGACAATCGCGCGACTAGGGTGAGCTGGGTGAGCTCAGGCCGAGCTGAAGCAAGCCACGCCAGCTATTTCCATCTGAGCATGTCAGCCAGCGACCCCCATTCTACCTTCCATCTTTTCCCAGACCTTCCTCCTGAACTTCGCAATCAGATATGGCTCGATGCATTGCCAATCCTCAAGCCGTCCATTCATTTCTACCACAGGGGTTGCTGGCGTCATCAGCCACTTGATCCATCCGATGAGGGGTATGGCCTAGACGATGAAGGTCCCCCAGTTTCCTTTCGACTTGAGTTAGTCAAGAAGACGTGGCTTGAAGTTCCCATGGTGTATGTGAATCATGAATCACGGCAAGCTACACTCAAATGGGCAGAGCAACATAGATTACCACTCTGCTCCCTCCCAGATACAGAGCGCCTGGTATTTCTACGCTCCTTCAATACAAACATTGATGCGCTTGGCGTTCCATATGAAGAGTGGGAGAATCTTATTCTCGAGCTTACCGATCTTCTTTCGGAGCCTGATCTTATTAATCAGATTGTGACGCCAATCTCAGCTATCAAGAGTTTCATTCTCTCAGAACGGATGCTCAAAAGTTGTGTCTCTGAGCTTGGTGACTTATTTGATGTCTATGGTGGGACAACAATTTACATTATTGATGGTGAAATGCCAGAACTAGACGCAGCAAGTTCCGCCACAGGGTTGCTGCAATCATGGGAATATGAGCCTTCTGGAGGGAAGGGCTGGAGATGGGATCCAGAACAACGCAGGTTTGCGGTCCAGGAGAATACTCAAATTAGAAGCCCGACATTATATGCGCTGATGGAAGAGGCTGCTAGGGTGCTTACTGAGGCTACTTCTATGTATGAACCACACTTTTCTATTATTCCTGTGAGGGTTTCTAGGACATGAGATTATCAAGCGAAGCATGTTGATGTACAAAGGCAGTAGCCGGAGCTCAGATTCTAGATCCGTTTCTATGATAGGACGTTGAAGCATTAGATGATGTACGATATTGACTAGCATGGCAATTAACCAGTTTTGAAATAACCGCTGGTTGTTTCTGAGTGGCATCGTGACTTCTTTTGCTATGCAATTGCCATTGTGCTAGCTGCTCGCATTGTGATTTCTGTTTCCTTAATCTTATTTACCTTGGCCCTCATGAACGCTATCAACAGCTGTAGCCTCTAGCTACCTTGAGCAAGCAAGTCAAATCCTGTTTGCCGCGATGAGGATGGATACAATCAATAGCTACAGACTCGAGCTACTCCTATGCACACTGACTCTCCCCTTGACTGATCTTTGGATAAGTCGTCTGTCTGTAAACGACCACAAAACGGTGGCGAGTGGTGCATTTGGCATGAACATAATCACGCGTGGACCTTTGAATCATGCTTTACACACTCTTTCATCCTTTGAAGGTATTGGATATTAAACCTTCTACCACCAAGTGCACACTGCACGTGTAACTACTGTGATAATGACACAATTTTGACAAGATACTGCCAATTGCTTCCAATGGTGCTCTGCTGCTCTGCCGCACACCATGTGGGGAGAAAAAAAGGAGAAAAGTATCCAAAGGGTAGGCAACCTGCCGAAATCTTCTGATTGCATATTCAGGCTTTTCTACCCTATTTCGAAAGGATGCTACGAGACTTTAGCATAGAAGAGAGAGGAAATCTCTCCCATACTGTGATCTTGACCTGTCTTGCCAGTTTACCTACCTACCCTGTATATCATCTACATCAGCTCCTCGATCAACGTACATCGACGCATTAATCTAGATTAAAATCTTAGATAGAAAGTATTCACGCTCGTAACTATCGGCACCAGTTTCTATTAGAGAATCCAGTCAATAATGACATCGTCCCAACGGGGTGTCATATTCAGTGTATCATCAACAGGTGCTAGTTGACGTCGCCTAAGCTCACATTTGATACCAATATCTCGCTCAGCGAATATTCGTAAATTAGTTGATAGATAAAGGCCGTGATTTTACTCTAATCCGTCTTCCCACGTACAAAGTCGTTTACCCCCGATCGAAATCCTCGAAGCCCAGAAGACTTCTTCTCTTTCTTTCCTCCAGTGCTGCCTGCAGCAACGTCCTCCTCTTTCTGTTTGCCCTTCCCGTCCTTGCGAATAGCATTTTGCACACCGCCTAAATCGATAAGTTAGCGCAAACTCTCAGAAATTTGGGAAATGGATGGTAAGTGCATCTTACCTCTACCATGATAACGTTGTTCTGGACTCACGGGCGGTGGCCCTCCTTCAGTCGCTGACGGCGTTGCAGGCCTACCCCCAGAACTTGACGCTCCTACACTACCCAATTTCCCTTCCAAGGGAGGGGTCACGTTGTAGGAGGTAGCATCTGGAGCGGCCTCAGGATTGGAAAACACCCGAGGTCGTATCCTTGTCCGAACAGGACTAGTTGAACCTTGCGGCGGATACTCTGGAGACCCGGTAAGTGGTCCGCTCGATACCTCGTGCTTGATCTGCTCTGGGGTTGCTCCAGATTGCATATCTAACAGAGAAGATTGCAGAGCCGTGTACTTTCGGATCAGCATGTCGTACTGGTGCTGCATCTCTGCGTGCCTTGCTCGACTTGACTCCAGGATGCCCTGGATTTCTGGCCTCTGGATAGTCACCGGAGGCTTCACTTGCTCCTGTGCCTGGGCTAGTTTCGCCTGCAATTCAACGATCTGTTCCTGGAAGACATTCCTGGTCTGCTGTGATTCACTCTCGATCGCGGCAAGTTTCATAATCATCTCCTCCACTCTGTTTTCAGCAAACACCGCAGCGTCAGCAGCTGCAGAACGCTCCTCCTCTTTCATTCGACACTCTTGTTCTACCTGGCCGAGGCGATCAGCCTTGGTTCGTAGCCTTTCAACCTCAGCAGCATGCAGCTCAATAGACTGCATGTTTTGTTTCCAGTTGAGTTCCTTCACCTCGCCATCACATACAAGTTGGCGGAGCTTCTCGCATTCCTGCTGTGTCGCTTCCAGATCTGTACGCACAGCCTGGAGCTCGGTGGCAGTTTTTTGATATTGGTCCCGCAGGTTCTTCATCTTGGTCGAGAGATCTGCCTCCCACTTTTTGGCCACTGCCCGGCTCTTCTCCGACTCTTTGCGGACCTGCATTTCTGCCTTCTTAGCTTCCTCATACCGACCCTTGAAATTTCGATTCATGATGATGAGATTTTGAGTCTCTGCCTCAGTCGCAGCCTGGGAGACCTGCTTCCTACGCAGCTCTCCGATATGCGCAATATGCTGCTGCTTCTGATATCTCTCGAAACTGAGATCGTTCTGTAACATGAAGCTCTGGCGTTGTAGATGGGAAACTTGGGCCGCGAGTTCTGCCACCAGAGGCGTGGGGTCTGAACTCTCTACTGGAGGCTGTGACTGCCCTATGCTTTGTTCCTTGGCCATATCCTGATGGCTTGTGGTATCTGACTCGTTCCCTTCTGTTGATATGGATTGCCGAACCTTGGCTCCCCTCGTTGCATCCATGATATCTCGTAGCTGTGAATGTGAAGTCGATTTGGCTAGCAGTCCCTGGCCATCGGGAGTTGACGCACGCCCCCTAATCTCGGGACTGCCCCAATCTGACACAAGGCTAATCTTGGAGTCCAGTCGAGCTATCGTGGATGAAGAATCGTTTCTGCCCTTAAGCTCGGAGCGGTACCCATCCATGAGAAGCATCCCAGACATTGACCGATGGAGGAGAGCTGAGTCAATGGCTTCCTCAGACCCAACAGTGGCCAGTCCTCGTTTGTCATCTATTGCCCCCGTTGGAAGTGACCATGCAGCGATTGGTTTTTCAGTTCCCACATAGAGCTCCATACATTGCGCAATGACTTCTGCGGCTTCACTCTGAATCCACCGCTCGAGATCGGATTTCTCCGAATCAATAGTGAGAGTATGGAAATTAGGATGGAGCAAATGGCACCTTCTGAATTGTTCAGACCGATCTCGCATTTCCGTTGGCTGAATCTCGATATCATCTGCGTCGGCCATATTGGCGTGGCGTAGATATCGCTGTGGTTTCCGGATATAGTCCATGAAATTAATGGGATACAGTCCATATAGAATCGTGTAGTAGTTTGCCAAATGAGACACGGCCTCATCGCTGGCCCCGAAAACATGCTCACAAGGCTCCCACCCACTAAACCTTTCCGGATCATGAGATGGCGTTTCAGTCACACCTGCTTTTTCCTGAGTCCAGAACAATAGCCGGGCATAAATGTTGAACAAGACTGGAAGATGTGGCACAAGAGAGCTTGGCATATGTGGCAACAGCATTATCAAGGCAGTCAGGGCTGACGAAACAACAACCGTAGACGTATCTTCTTGCAGGCAGGTCAGAAGATTCTTGAACATGGTCCCTTGAAGGATCTGATGCAGATGTGGAGGATGGCTCTGTATAAAGTCGCATAAGAATCGGAGGGCAGCCTTGCGATGCTGGGCTTGGACGAAGAAGCTATCGAGAGAGGCGAAGAATTGCTGTTGGCCGAATTATTAGCTTAGCACTCCTGAAATCTAGGGAGATCAGCATCGTCATACCTGTGGTCGCATCTTTCCAAATTGAATGATTGCCTGGCGAAATATACGTTCATTGAACTCCATTCCCGCAACACCCTTTACGAAGGCCGGGTAGAAGCAGTCCATCCAGATCGCGAACATATGATGCATAATAGCGTTCAAGGGCTCGTCTCCCTCGAATTTATCCTGAAAATCGACCGCGAAGCTCACTATGTCCATCAACGATCCGACCGTTTCGTCCACGATGCCCTTCTCGTGGGATGATCGCTCGCTTAGAGTTTCTTTGAGAACATCCACCCAGAACGTCACTCGTTCGGCGGTTTGCAGCATGGGTAGCAGCTGTCGGATAACGCCAACCCACACGGAGGAGGCATCTTGATTGCCTCTGACATGTTTGTCGAAGATGGATACGAGCTCCTCCTGGAGCCGGTCTGCCGCTGCTTCCTCGTACTTGGAATGGCGTTGGAGGTAGGAGCCGATGGTCTCTGTCAGGTCGTCGGGTAGAGGGGCCTGGGGGCTGGCTGTGAAGGCGGTGATCGCCTTGGACAGGTCTTTGAGGGAACTAGCATCATGGAGGTCTCTGTTAGCCACAGTCGTGGGTTGAGGCAGGCAAGCCGCCGGGGTCTGGGTGGCGGGCGTTTGGGGATTCCGCCCGAGAGAAGATTTCCAACGTACGTTTGTGAAGCCATCACGCCGGAAGCTCTCTGGCAGGGGCAAGCTCCAATGGAGCCAGCTCCGTAGCTCTTCCTATAGCTCTGGTGTGAGTCAGTCGATGGCACGGGATCTGTCGATGGCGGATTATGATGCGGTCGTGCAGGACAAGGACCTCATTCTCGGTGGCACTTCGCCGGCATCCGGGTGTCTGACGTTGTGCTGCCTGGTGGGACTGCTGTGACTTTAGTGGGCTGAGGGCCCGGGCACAGGTCTCGAGGTTCCCGTGGGTATCGCCATGGGCTGATCCGGCCTTGGGTACTTGTCCAGGGCAGCTGAGTCAGGTACCGGCCCAAGTACCGAGCGCAGCTGATTTCTTAGCAGCTACATGGCTGATCGACCCACAAGCATAACCCCGCGAAATTCGCGGCTTTCAGTGGGCCCGCTAAGCGTCACAGCTGCAAGCGATCCCCTGTGGAAGCCACTTTCTGGGGGCCGTAGCAGCATTTCCGAGCATCGGGACTGCCCGCCATTGGCTTTGAGTTTGAGACTTGGCTGTTATGGCCTGTGGAGGAGGGGCAGTGGTCTTCTGACATACCGCCAGACGCGAGAGGGTACTTGGTTTCGCCCGGATCAAGCCACCTGAGATGTATGTACACAGGAATCCGGTGCCGACGCAGATGCTCTCCATCCTGGGTTAGGCATGCTGTCACCGTCCAGTCACCTTTGAAGGTTGGAGAGGGGTTGGTTCCCTTGGGAGCAACCTGGCCCTTGCTTCAGGTACTTTGCAGCCACAGAGATGTCAGGTAGTATGTAGAGAGGAGGAGGCGTACATCCCATCGTCGCGTGATCTGATCTGGCAAGCTCCAATCCTTTTCATTCTGCTCACTACCCCTCACCCTCTGCTACTACTTCTACCTCTCCTCCTCCCTCTTTCCTCCCTCAGCGTTTTTCTCTTCTTCGCTATCATCAAAGAAGCATCAATCCACCCACCAACCATCACTTTTATCATCCCACCCGTCTTTAAAAGACACCACCCCATACTACCGTCAAGATGAGTGTGCATAAGACCTCTGCTGTTGCGGAGCAGGAGCCAGTGGACGTCCTCATCGCACTGCAGAATAAGTTTGACCTCCTCGATCTCGCCGGCCCAGTCGAGGTTCTCAAGAATGCTCTCCATGATTTCAAGGACAGCAGTAAGTCACCACAATTCCTTTCGTTGCCAGGCCAATTGAATTTCTATTGCCGTGTCTCTTCCACCCAAGAGGACTCCGAGACTGATCCCTTGCTACCTCTCAGGCTCCAATGCATTTGAGATCACCGTTGCTGGTGAGGAGCCCAAGGTGCTCTCCGACCAGGGCGTCGTGGTTGATTCCCAAATCACCTTCAAGGACGCCCATGAGCGTCTCGAAGACTTTGACATCCTCATCATCCTTGGTGGCAACTCAGAGGAGATCCTCGAGAAGGAATCCGAACCCCTCGGTCTCATCAATGACTTCTCTGAGCTGCAGAAGAAGGATCCCGCCAGGGAGCGAACCATCCTCTCCATTTGCACCGGCTCTCTCTTCCTCGCCCGGGAGGGTATCCTCTCTGGCCTCGCTGCCACCACCCACCCCGATCATATAACCAAGTTCGAGAATATTTGCAGTGATGCTGCTACTCGCAACCTCCAAGAGCGAACTGACGTCATTGAGGACGCTCGCTACGTTGTCAACAATCTCAGATTTGACTTGGGTGACGAGGATGAGAATCCATACATCCGTCGCAAGAGTGCCGACAATACACGGCGGCCATCGAATGCTCGGTATGCTTTAACCTTAACGCGTCCTACGCAACCCTACGTGTATAATGCTAATCCAATTATAGAAAGGGTAGCACCTCTTTCAAGGGCTCGAACTCCCGCCGTGAATCCATTGTTCGCCGCGCAGCCATGCGCCTTGGCGGACTCCGGGTCATCACGTCTGGGGGAAACAGCGCTGGCATTGACGCAGCTTTGTATCTTGTCAGCGCTATGGTTGATGATGAGTGTGCGGTGGAGGTGGCCAGGATCATGCAGTGGTCCTGGAACAAGGGCATCGTCGTTGATGGTCTCGACGTTTAAGCCCGGCAGACGAGTGCCAGTTGTACCGCTCCATATGTATGGCCCCCGTCAGGCGCCATGTGAGCTGGTACGTGTGTGACAATATTAATATCCAAAACCCAAACCTGTAAAACCATATTACCTAGCTACTTTAACGAATGAAATCGAATGTCATGCTGTCTTTTAATCAATTCCTTCTCCAGACTCACAAAACCCGTCTTTTCTCCCTGTGCGGCCGTGTTGGCCTCAATTGAGAAATTTTTTCCCTCATAAACGACTGGCTGGTCACTGCTACGTAGCATTGTTTAATGGCATCGCAGTGAAATCTGTACCTACAACATGTAGTTTGGGAGCACAAGAGAGCTTACTGAAACAGAAGATGGTGGGGAATGTTGCTTTCGGAGTATTTCATTCGTTCTTCTGGAGATGCTAAAGAGCAAGATGGTGTGCGTGATGAGGTGAGCCGGTACCGTGCATGTATACACAGGTGCTGCTGGGCAGTGTTTGTCACAGTCAGACGGCTCAGGGTACTAGAAGGGTACTAGCAGGGTACTTCCATGCAGGCAAACATGCTCCTGTTTCTAAGTGCGTGGGCCAAACTGGTGATCTTGCTCCACCCGCCACACAATCAATCTACCTCAGCCCCTAGAACAGGCTTAGTGGGCTGGTGGGCCTGCATCTGCTGGTTGGCTGGTCGCTTTTCTCCTTTGGCTCGCGACGCACGCGCACGCGGGCTGGAACTAACCCGGGTAAGTATCATTAATTGATCTGGGGCAGCCTCGACAACCTTGCTACGTGCTTTCATCACCATTTATCTGCTCGATCACCGCTGCGGACTCGGCCCCTGGACAAGTGCACAGGTGCACGAATACCTTCTTGCTCTTGCGAATATCCATCCCGAGTCTAGCCGCGCTGTCCATCCAGACTGCAGCCCATCCCATAGCTCCTTTCGCATAGACCGAACTTGCCAAATACCCTCCCGAAGCTGGCTAAAGAAAGACCCAAGAACGTGGTCCGAGGGGATCAATTGGCCGTACTATGGCCGACTGGGCGAAACTCAAGGTCGTTGATCTCAAAGCAGAGCTCAAGCGCCGCGACCTCCCACAACATGGCTTGAAGGCTGAGCTGGTCGCGCGCCTCGTCGAAGCCGACGAGAGCGAGGCCGCGCCTGAAGCCAGCAACAAGGAAGAAGAAAAAGATGGACAAGGTGCGCAGGGTGACTCGTCCGAAAGCCTAGGCAAGGATGAAGCTGAAACACCAGACGGTACAGCGTCCTCTGATACGATATCAGTCCAAGCACCGACCGAAATCAAGCTCAGTACAGAGAAAGAGGTCGAAGTGCGAGACTTCGAACCAGAAAATAAAGACACAGAAGATTCGAAAGGGTCCGTGCTTAGCGAAGAGCTGCCCCAAAACTCGCTTGAATCGACTGCCGAAGCGAGAGCACCTTCCGCGGATAACGATGTGCCTGAAGCCCTCCGTCAAGAGCCCTCCAGCACCTCCGAGGAGAATCCGGCAGAGAACCAGCAAGACGAGATCATTATCACATCCGAGACTGGACGAGAGCCTACGGACGTTTTATCGAACGATCCGCCTCCCACCGAACCGGAGTCGCAGAAGCGCAAACGTCGCTCTGCTACCCCAACCCCCGACGCGGAAGCTGTTGCCAAGCGAGCACGTACTCTACAGAGTGAATTAATCAATACATCAACTGGCGCAGCGATTTCCAAGCAGGCTCGGCCCGAAAAATCGGCAGAAGAGGGCACTGGTGAAAGCATGGAAGGGGTGCAGACTCAGAACAAGCTAGGACAGCCTATTGGGGGCTCTACAGCAAACAAGGCTGGCCGTGAGCGAGATGTGCCACCATCTGTGCACCCCGCCACTACGGCGCTGTACATTTCCAATCTGATGCGACCGCTTCGTCCAGCTGATATTCAAACACACCTTGCCGACCTTGCCACTCCTGCCGGTCAAGCCCCCAACGACGAAATCATCACTGAATTCCACATTGACCAGGTTCGCAGCCACGCATTTGTCGTGTTCGACAACCTACCAGCGGCGTCCCGAGTGCGGAACCTTCTCCACGATTGCGTCTGGCCCAACGAGAGTAATCGTAAAGCTCTATGGGTGGACTTTATCCCGCCCGAGAAGGTACCTGCTTGGATCGAGAAGGAATCTGGCCAGGGCGGCCGTTCGTCTACCCGCTGGGAAGTCGTCTATTCGGACGATGCCAGCGGGAATGCCGAGGCTCGCCTGGAGGTTGCCTCAGCTGCAGGTCCGCGACCTGGGCCTCCCCCCGCCCCATCAGCAGCCGGTAGCAGGTTCGCACCCCCCGTGTCCGCCGACAGCGCGAACAACATCCCCGTCGGCCCACGGTCGCAGAGAGACCCGAGCATAAGCAACGCACCTACGGGACCCCGTAGCAAGCGTTCCGGCCCCGGCCCACGCCCTCCACCTGGAGTAATGACCGGAGGCATGCTTGATTCAAAGCGGACACAGGCCCAGCCAGTTATTGGCTACACGCCAGTATCGGAAGATCTCGCCCGTCGGCGTCTGGATAACATGCGCAGCTTTTATAAGCGTGACGCGGACCGTCGCGATCTTGGCCGTGACTTCAACAGATATTCGTTTGAAGATGGAGACGGCTTTGTTGACCGGGGCAAGGAGGTCTTCGAAGGCATCCGACCCCCCCATCGCGAACGTGATCGTCCCGCGCGGGGAGGATCCCGCGGAGGACCTCGTGGAGGAGGGTTTGGCGGAGGAGGGTTTGGAGGACGAAGGGGAGGACCGCCCCCACCCCGAAGAGGCGGGGATAGATACTTCCCCGGCGGTGTTGGTGGTCGTGATGACCGTCCTCGTCGCGATTACAGATAAAGAATCGCACACAGACATATCGATGGACGCCGGCGCAACCATCAGCAGACACGTGATCTGCTCTCTCTGCTGGGGAGAACGCCGTTGAGAGTGGGCTCTTATCCTTTTTCTTCCAACTCCACTTACACCAAGGTGTGGTAAGGAGCTACGTAGTAAACATCTACCAGGGCACTTCTGGAAAAGGGAGTGCCATTCTCACATGGGCCTCTAATGAAAAGGGGGCATGACTCGGGACAAACGGAGTTACAGTGTGATATTGCAAAGCCACGCGGTATTTAATGATCATGAATGGGGAAAGGTTCTACGGGATTAGATGGCCTACCTCGGGCGTGTTCGCGGGAAGCAAGGAGGAGCATCAGCACGGCACCCGGGTGGGTAGCCCCTTATAGCTCTAATAATGTACGAAGATACGGGATTCTGATGGTTCAAAGATAGAATCGGAATGCAATTGCAATTTTATACCATAACTTAACCCATTGCGGCTTCTCCACGGGCTTGCCAAGTGACGAAACCCCGGTGTGCACTGTGGCTTCGGTTTACCCCAGCTTCTACCAAGTTTTAATAGCCATCAATCATGTGATTGTGCGAGTGGCTGGCCTGGTGCACCATGGAGTGTGGAATCAAATATAGCAATAAGTGCCGACTCCGGAGCTCTGGACGGCCAATTCTTCACGCAAGCGTTGCATTTGCATTTGTTCATTGCTGTCTTTTCATTCGTTAATCGGTCTAATTATATCCGAAAGAGATTCCATCTCTTGACCTGGCCGCCTACAGAGCACCAAGTTCCTTCAGCTTGCTAACAAGACCACCGACATCCTCAACCTTGCCTCCGCCTTGTCTCACGGGGGGTTCTAGGCACACAAGTCAGCCAATAAAATCCATGACACCATTGCCTCAGCATAGAAGCAGAATGGAAGGGTTCTAAAAAAGGCTTGATAGCTGTGATGAGGGGGGAGGGGGGGAACTGCACTCACCAGTAACCTTCAAGATCTTGAGTTTCTTCTCGCTCGTAAGCCCAAAGTCAGCCAGCGTCTTCTTGTCGAGCTTCTTCTTCTTCGCCTTCATGATGTTGGGCAGCTTGGCGAACCGGGGCGTGTTGAGCCGCAGGTCCGTGGTCACGACCATCGGCAGCTTGGCCCTCACCGTCTCCACGCCGCCGTCAATCTCCTGCGTGACCAGCACCGAGTCGCCCTCCCCAAACTCCACCTTGCTCGCCTGCGTCGCCTGCGGCCAGCCCAGGAGCCCGGCCAGCATCTGGCCCGTCTGCCCCGCGTCGTCGTCGATGCTCTGCTTGCCCAGCAGCACCAGGTTGCTCTTCTCCGCCTCCACCGTCGCCTTGAGCAGCTTGGCCACCGTGAGCGGCTCCAGCTCCTCGCCCTCCTTGAGCTCCACGTGGATGCCTCGGTCGATGCCCATGGCGAGGGCCGTGCGGATCACGTCCTGGGACTTGGCGGGGCCGGCTGAGATTGTGCAGATGTCCTCGACGCCGCCCGGCGCGCGCTTCTCCTCGCGGATGCGCACCGATTCCTCGACGGAGAGTTCGTCGAAGGGGTTCATCGAGTGCTTGACGCCGACGGTCTCCACGCCGGTCATCGCCTTGTTAATTCGGGGTTTGACCTACGAAATTCAAGCCCGGTTAGCTTTGTAATAAAAAAGGTATTGTAGGGGAGAGGATCGTACAGCATAGTCAATGACCCGCTTGACGGGAACGAGGATGCGTAGCGCAGACATTGTGATTGAATTGCGTCTTTAATTCACCACCTGCGGTAGGACTCCGGCGTGGTTAAGTATCAAAGAAGCCGGCTACTTGGGCTTTGGCGATACTATTGCGGCGACTCGGGGCGGTTACTCCCGGCTCCAGACCTCGGGACATTCGGCACGTGACGTAGCCTCCGGAGGTCGGAACTTGAAATCCAGCATTCCCACACCCAATCTCAATATTTGGCAGGTTGCCAGGGGCAAACGCCAAAGTCCATAAAGGCGAAGTGGCATGTGAACTCGGACTCGGTGGACTCGCTCGGCTTAGTAGACAAGGGAAAGGTAGGCAAACGTGGCTACCACTACATGTCACCCGAGTACAAATATGCGTGGCTTCATTTCCAACGCACCACCGCTCTATTGACCATAACATTATCTCAAGCCATGGCTAGTAACGAGAGCTCTCAAATCAAGAAACACGGTAAGCTAGTAAATCGCTAGCATTGTCAAATGAGGCATCTCAAAACTGCATCTCTGAGTGATGTAAACGCCGATGCTCCCTATCAGTATAAGACCCAATGCCCCCCTCGACAGCCTCTATTTCCGAGCTCACCAGTCGTCCCAATCGTCCCCTTGCTTCTTAGTCTGTGGCGCTGCCGCCGCTCTATTTTTTCCCATTCCCATTGCACTTGTTCCAATGGCGCTGCTGTTCTGCTTATTCTGCTCTGCCAGGTTGGAGAAATCGTCCCAGAATGACTTCTTGCTTTCATCCATGAGAGGAGCTCTAGTACCGTGCTGCTCCTGACCTCCCTCGACAAAGCGGTTAAACCCGTCCTGTGCGTTCTTCCCTGCCATCTGGGCTTGCTTTGCCAACTGCGCCGCGGTAAGTTGGGCCTGTTTGGCGAAATCTCCCTCTGCAAACTGAATTCGCGTTGGCAAGTTAGCATGAAGGGCAATGATGAAACGAAGAAGTCAGAGAAGGTGAGACGTACGTTCTTTGCGGCAGGCTGGATGTAGCCGTCATTGACAGTTTTGGCAGTGTTGGAAACGGTTGTCGTGAACCACCCAAAGCCCTTTGTCAGAGCCGCGACGGGATCCTTTTGCACATCGTCAAACGTTGGCATTATACCGGGGCTTTGGGGGCCAGGCCCAGGTGTGTTGCCAAAGCCTGCATATTTGCCTCCTTGGCTTGGATGTATGTGGTCTGGCCGCGAGGCATTGTCCGCGCCCAATCTCGCAAAGTACTGGTCGTCCACCTTGACCTTTCCGCCGCCCTGAGCTGGGCTCTCGCTTCGGTTCGCAGTTCCGCTCAAGGGCGACATGGGTTGCCTCAAAGCTGGTTTTGGCGCCGGCGCTGGCTTCTTCTCCCCTGGGACGTACTCCTTGCCCTCCACCTTGCACGTCAATCTCTCCTTCCACTCCTCACCAATCTCTCCCGTATACCGATCGGGCTCGGTGCCCGCGTCCCAGGTGACTTTCGAATCGGCATGCGCCTCGTAGAATTCCTGCCAGCCTTGGTTTCCGCCAAGTCGCATTCGCTCGATTTCAACCGACTTGAAGGCGTCCATGGAGACACTTCGAACAAAGGAGATGTGTACACCGAGGCCACGGTGCTTGCCGGCGCACGTGAGGCAAATGAAGATGCCAAACTTGGGGGATGCCCATTGCGGTGAGGGCGCACCGCAGTCGCAACAAACATTGTTGTTCGATTCCTTTTGAAGAGCAGCCAGCTGCGTAAGGGGGACACAGAGACTGGGCGTTAGCAAAGACAAGGGACCGGAGCATGTCGGATTTCTGGGTGCTAGCAACCTACCTTGGACCTGGTCTCTGGGTCTACCTCCCACATGGCCTTGGACGCCATTGTGATATGGAAGGCAGTCTCTGGCCGTGCTAATAGAGAAAGAAGGTGCAAAGGAAAGCAAATGACTAGCAAAAGAAGAGAGCCTGCAGAGGTGATGAGATAGCCTAAGCGGAGAGTGTGTCGTCTCAAAGCAAATCCTCCAGGGGCCAAAACAATCCAGACCCCCGAGACCTCCCCCACTGAGGGAGGACCTACCTCCAGACAGTTAATGCTGTCCCCAGCGCAGAACACCACCTAAGCCCATTTCACACTCTCCACCCCCTAATCTTAGCTATTATTATACATAAGAGATGTCGTTAATCAATAAACAATAATACATTAGAATTAAGACATCACTACTTAGGTACCTATGTAATTACAGCACTTTGGTCACCCAGTCATCGGGTGACTGGTCGGCTCATCAGTGGCCCGATAAGCTGCCACTTATCGACCTGTCATACTAATGATACCATGACGCTTCCAATTAGAATATAGGGGACATAGACTGGCGATTGGCACAGAGCATACCTATACCATGATGTTTATTCTTTAAAATACCAAATTGCAGTATATAATAACGTGAAAGAGATATCAATGCTTCTTGCAGCCAATACTTACCCTTCTTCTCTCCGAAAACTCCATGTCATACCAAAGGATCACACCGTATTGATCACGGTCTGATACCAATGGCGCACCAGATCATAACCGAGCCTAATGAAATTTCGAGCCAGAATGAGGGAAGAGGAGAAAAGGCTTTAACGTGTTCAATACCTAAAGATTCACGCGAGGCGTTGATTGATAGCAGCAACAGCGTGCTCTCGTTACAATCAACCTGCAGGCCATCACCCTATCCATGTTTAATAAAGTGTGAGTAAATTATAAAGTACCTACATACTACCTATAATTAAAGTACTACAACTGTGCCAAGGTGTCTATGCCACATGTGACCCTGAAAATGTTCCTTCTGGCTGTTTGGCTTGATTCAGCCTTTCCCTTGGATAATTTATTTGCACACATGTAGAACTCATTGTCAACCCTTGACACATAGCCTCGAAGACTCGAAGAGCAGCGGGAAACGCCGAGTTCCAGAATATCTGCATTACTGTCTAAGCATCTACAGCATAGGGTTATCTATCTACTTCCTTTTTCTGATCCAATTTGATTCGATCCAGATATGTAAACTATCAAACAAGTTGTTTTATCCTATCTTGAATTGCCAGAATGGTAGGGGATAGGATAATCATATCACGCAACATGAACCCAGCTCCCCAGTCCTAGGCTCCGACATTGCCGTCATTGAACTCTTCACCCGTAAACCATGCATTTTCAGCTAGTTCTCCTTCCTTAGACTGGAATTCCGCTTCAATTGCGTTGATCAAGCCGAACCTAACCAATCATTTCATATCAAAGATGGCTCTAGTGGGAGCGCGTAGGATCCAATGCGATGCCGGCCAAAAAGGTGTTTTCCACTTCAAGTTGGGATTTGAGATGGGCTAGAACCTCATCTTTAAGCGATCACGGTAGTGAAGGAAAAGTGTTATCAAGCATAATTAGGTCTATTGGTCTGCATTAAGTTAGGTAGGCAGCTCAACCATAGCGCTATTGTTTTCATTAGATATTCCCACCCGATCACTCCATGCTCAAGCTAACGCATACATAACCCAGCAGAAAAGCGACCGCAAGTGAAAATAGGAAAAACTTTGATATGGATACACGAAATTTGAGCCCCAGCTTCAAAACTTTTGATTCCTTGTCTGATTCCCCGTATATTATGGTCCCAGTCCATGAAAATAGAACGTTGCCAAGTGTTAAAAAGAAGGCGGCATCAACACCCATCCCAAGATTTTCAATAGTCCAGAGAGGTCCGGTCGAGATTTCTCAACCGTCGGCTCACCGAGAGCCACGCCGTCTCAAGGATTGCTGTAGATAACTTCTACTGTAAGAAAAATTCGTCAAAATCGCGTACCATATCGTAATGTACTCATTGAAGGTGGAGTACAACACCCTTTTGCCACCTGCATTTAAGCAGTAGTGGCGGGAGTGGAGGCAGGAGCAGCCTCGGTGGCTGCGGGGGCAGCGGCATCAGCAGGAGCATCAGCCTTCTTCTCCTCCTTTCCGTTGACATCGGCGTCAGCGGGGGCATTAGCCTCCTCGTCGGTCTTGTCTGGGGAGTCAATGGCGACCTTGACGGCGATCTCACGTCCCTCAACCTCCTTGCCGTTCATCTCAGCAACAGCCTTCTGCTGCAGCTCCTCAGAAGCCAAAGTAACGAAGCCGAATCCACGTCCCTTGCGGGCCTCGCCACGGGCCTGAAGCTTCTTGATCATGAAACGGGGGATAGGTCGGAGGGCAATCTTAGCCGAGGAAGGCTGGTAGTCCTTGAACAGCTCGATAAGCTGTATCTAGTCAGTACAATGCATAGAATACCATCAAAATCTGTCGTAGAAACGAACCTTCTCCTCAGTCAAGTCATAGGGCAGGTTAGCGACCATGACCTTGATCTTAGAGGGAATACCATCGGCAGGGGGGCCACGCTCACGGCGGGCGCGCTGGGCCTTAGCATCATCGCCAGCAGCGACATCCTGGTTGGTCACATCGGCCAGAGGCTTGGGTTCGGTGGAAGCAGCAGCTGCGGGAGCGGCAGGGGTTTCTCCAGAGGCAGGAGCGGCAGCCTCAGTAGTCTCACCTTCCTTCTTCTCACCGTCCTACAGAGAAAGTCAGAAAAGAGCAGCAGCAAGCGAAATTCCGTATGAACACTTACACCACGGGCAGCGCGGGCGCCTCGTCCGTTGCGACCACGGCCCCGGCCTCGTCCAGAGGCGCGACGGCGAGTGCCCTCACCACCAGAACCTTCACCGTTGGCTGCCTCGGTCTTCTCGCCAGCTGGCTCGGGCTTGCGAGCAAGCTGAACGGAAACCTTGCGCTCAAGGATCTCCTTGCCAGAGAGGGCGTCGATAGCACGCTCGGCCTCAGTAGGGGTAGAGAGGTCGACAAAGGCGTAGCCAACAGGACGGTCGGTGCGTGGGTTCTTCGGGATTGACACGGACTCACTGACAATTGACAAGTTAGCATAGGCTAGAAAACAAGACTGGGGACAAGTAGGGTGGAGAGTAAAAGGCGAATTAAATGAGCATGAGGAAAGGTCGAGGGACGCGAGTTTGCAAAAGTTGGTGCAACCACGAAAGCCTCGAGTTGGCCAAACTGTTTGCAACCAAGTCCTCTCCCAATGTCCCATCACAACATTGCCAAGAACTCAATGAAGGAACCCAGTCAGGAGTAGCCACATACACAAGATATTCCTTGAAGAAGTCCTTCAACTCCCCCTCAGTTGTCGCGTAGGCCAAGTTGCCGATATACAGGCGGCGGCCTTCGGCAGCGCTGGCCGAAGCAGCCTCGTTTGCGGCGGCCTTATCATTGAGAGAGGTATTGCTCAGAGCATTTGTAACGTCATTAACATTAGGGGTCTCGGGGACCTTCTCCACAGGGGCAGCAGACATGATGGCGGGTTTGAAGTGTGTAGAGGACTGTCGTGAAGGATGACGTTTCGAACTTGTGGACCAGCCTAAGGGTGCAGTAACGTTCGAAAGTGATAGCTTGTGGTTGAAGTTCGGGGAATCGAACACTTGGAGCAATAAGGAGGAGTGTTGGTCAGGGTGGCTTGGTGCCCTAGGTACGGGTTGAGATTAGACAGACGACGATGCGTTGCGCGGAGACACTAGTTGACTGGAGTATTGTGATGAGAAAGGGAAAAGGAGAGGGAGCTGGGAGTGTCGCGACATATGAAATATTTTTTTGGGCATGCTGGCCTTTGCTCCTGCCTACCTCTGCTCTAGGTATGTTTGGTAATAAGGCCAGAGCCAGGGGGCGGTGGCGGCCACTACGGCGAGGCACCTAGCGAGCGTTGCTGCATGTAATTGTGGCAGGGGGGGCTAATTAGGTGTTGTTCCAGGCGCAGGAGCATCCAGGTCAGGGTAATAATAGGTACACGCGACTCAAAGGGAGCTGGCCGCCCCAAACCTTGGCTGAGGTGTACCTTCCCGCCTTGTCCCCAGCAGGAAGCTACAACCACAGCTTACTCCTGCGCATAACACTGAGCTACAGCAGAAAGGTGAGACAGGGTCACGTAAGCGTACCTACGGGAACCCATTAAAGGAGGAAGGATTGACCGATGGCCGCAAATTGCGCTTGGGATCTGTTGTTTTGGACTTGCCGAGCTGGGGCACGGTACAGGAATGGCGGGCAGTGGACGAAGAGGCAAGCACGGAGCGAGCGGAGGCCGCAAGTGCCAAGTGGGTGGCCATTGATCACCGCAACTCTATGCACCGTGGTTTAGACAGAAGCTGCGAGAACAGTCGCGCTAACAGCACCCTCCTACAGTGCAGAGTATGTACGTACTAAGCTGTTCTGCACACCGCAATGACTCACGGCCGCACTGGCTGGCACTACATTGAACTTACCTATTGGGTAGATCGGAGATTCCAGGGCCCCTGATGATGTTGTCTTGCAGGAGACGCATGCCTCAGTCTAGCGGTGGGCCCGGTCTGCAATACTGCCTGACCTGGCCTCCGACTTCCCCAGTCCGCGGAAAAGAATGCATGGGTGTCGTCTAGTCTCCGAGCTCGTCTTCAGGAAGGACTGACACGACATGGAGAACAAGGAGAAGGTACAAACCAGAGGCGAAGACCTCCTCACATGCTTCGTAGTATAAGCGGAGCGGAACTCTAATTTCAGGCGGTGCACGGAAGGTGGTGGTCTCTCGGATATTATTGCCTTCAATGTGAACTACCTGCCGCAGTAGGGGCCTGCTCAGGGCTACGCTACCTGTTGTTTTACTTTTAAGCCAAAGACATCCAGGCTCCCCAAGGCATTTAGTAACCCTCCTGTTCCTTCCCGTACCGAGACAAGCAATTAATCCCAAGGCGCCACAGTGTCTATCGGCAAGTGCACCTGTAGACCCCGAGTTCCGCTTGTTGTGAAGCAAGAAGGAGCTCTTGTTCCATTTATGTAGAAACCCATTTGATGGGCGGCACTTTGTAATCAAGGCACAGCCTCTCTCCTACACCCCATATCAATCTACGGCCAACGGTTCCTATTCTCTATCTTTCGGCCCCCCTCGAATCTTGGCTCAATAGCGAAATGAGACGGCGCATGTGCAATCGACTGATTTTCTGAGCGGCAAAAAAAAAAATCATAGCCATACAAAACTGACCAAACAACGCAAACCGAGTAGAGAGCACGCCAGGTATCACCAGGGTATGTATATATTAGCACAGAAACTAGGTTTCAGCGATACAGAATGAATAGTCCCACACATTATGAAGTCTACTGCAAACTCATAGGCCAAACCTTGTAAAAGTCCCATTCCTGGAATTCGCAAGAACGTGAATCTAAAGCCTTGGACCCGACCCCAGGCTGAAGATTGATAAGATGCTCGATCTAGCAAGTGCCTACCTCGGAGCAGGCTACTTGCACTAGGAACAACGCCCCGTCATCGGCATATATCGAAGCCCACAATTTTTCAATCTTCACTTGCCCAAATACCGCTTGAACTCCCACTGCACGTCTTCTGGAAGGGATTTTTAACTTGTTTTGATTGATTTCCAGTCTTGCTCCCCCGCCCCGCTTTAGTCCAAAAGGCTTCCGAGTCCGGGGCAAAGCCAGCCTTTGACTGTACCGAAGTCTCTAGGCACCACAACCGCCATGGCTTCACCGGGGAGGAGCATCTTGATCCTGTATGGATCCGAGACTGGGAATTCCCAGGACATAGCTGAAGAACTGGGTAGCCTATGTCAGCGCCTACATTTCAAAAGCCACGTAGAAGAGCTAGACGCTGCCGATCTGGTCAGTCTATCGGAATTGATCTCTTTTACAACAGCAGTTAACATAACATCGCCGGGTAGAATTCACTCTTACAGCATCAGTTTGTCATATTCGTCATCTCAACTACTGGACAAGGGGATATGCCCCATAACTCCCTACTCTTCTGGAGGAAACTCTTGCGGAAGAAGCTGCCTCCCGGTTGTCTAAGTCAAATTCGGTATACCTGCTTCGGCCTAGGAGATAGCACATACTTGAAGTAAGGAGAACGACGTTGCTTTATACTGCTTCATTGTGCTTACATGATTTTCTCCCTAGGTTTAATTGGGCAGCTCGCAAGCTTATTCGCCGACTGGAACAACTGGGGGCGAATACCTTCTTCGACTGCTTCGAGGCTGACGAGCGCTTTGACGACGGGTGAGTAAAAAAGAGTCTACGCGTGAAAGCATGGCAAGTGACAGAAATCTCCAGGATAGAAGGCGCTTTCTCATCTTGGGCCGGCAAGCTTTATGATCATCTACTAGAGGAGCATCCTCCTCCGACTGGCCGGGCTCCCATATCCGATGATTCTATATTACCACCAAAGTGGTCGCTTTCGCCTGCGTTGAGCCGCAGCAGCACCGGCTCGGCCAAAATTATTTCACATTCGGACATAGACGTGCCACCTCCAGGACCTCTCCCAATACCAGATGGGTGGGAAGCTACCCTTGCTGATAGCAAACGTATGACGCCGCTCTCCCACTGGCAGGATGTTAGACTTCTCGGGTTCGATGTGCCTTCCCGTGCTGCCGGCCAGAAACTGGCGTGCAATCCCGGCGATTGTTTGACAATTTATCCCAAGAACTTTCCCGAAGATGTTCAGAAGTTGATCACACTCATGAGCTGGGAGTCTGTCGCTGACCAGCAAATCGACCTTTCGGCTTGTCCCGCCCTCCCACGAAACCTCCACGCCTCTCAACCGTGTACCATTCGCCAGCTCCTCCTTGAAAACATAGACTTCAACTCGATCCCTCGCCGGTCCTTCTTCAAGAGCATGTCCTATTTCGCGACTGACCCTAATCACAAAGAGAGACTACTCGAGTTCACCAAAACCGATTTCCTTGACGAGTACTTTGACTACGCCACGCGCTCTCGGCGGACGATCCTCGAAGCTCTCGACGAATTCACCTCGGTCAAGATCCCTCCAGAACGCCTTCTTGACGTCTTCCCTCTCATCCGTGGCCGTGACTTCAGCATCGCCAACGGAGGAGCCCTCTTGGCCCACCCCACCGGCGATGAGAGCATCACCCGGGTAGAGCTCCTGGTCGCCCTCGTCCGCTACCGCACCATCCTCCGCAAACCACGCCAGGGCCTCTGCTCCCGATACCTCGCCTCCCTGCCCCCCAATGCCAGCATGCGTGTCGGCTACAAGCCAGTCCTCACGCCCATCCACGGTGCCCAAAACGCCCAGCGCCCGCTCGTCGCCATGGCCACGGGGACCGGCCTCGCCCCCGTGAGGTGTCTCATCCACGAGCGGCTCACACACCCCAACCCGGGACCCATGCTCCTCTTCTTCGGCAACCGGAACCGCTCCAAGGACTTCTTCTTCGAGAAGGAGTGGGATGATCTGAGCAAGGATGGCGGTGGTGACGAGAATGCGACCCTGATTGTATTCACCGCTTTTTCCAGGGACCAGCCGGATAAAGTCTACATCCAGAATATCCTCCGGCGAGAGGCCGACACCGTCAACGACCTCATCCCCAGGAATGCCATCTTCTCCATCTGCGGTGGCTCTACAAAGATGGCCGATGCTTGCAAAGAGACCGTTTTCGACGCGTTCAGGAGGAGCGGTGAAGAGCCAGACCGGGAGAAGCAGCTTGAATCATTGACTTGGTGGCAGGAGATTTGGTAGCTGGCATTTGATCCATATGCTACGACATTCTCTAAGGCAAATAACTGCTCAAGAGTCAATGATAGAATAGAGGAAAGGCCATAGGTCAGGATATCATGTAGTGATGAAATATAATCTCAATTGCAAGTATTGTTTCAGCATATTAATACGATGGTAGCCAATCTTCGAACCAACGAAATGTCTATGTAGAAAGAGCAACTCTAACCATCGAGTACAGGCCAGACGCCACTTGGACCAAAACGCCGGGCTTCTTAGTAAAAGAACGAGGGAGAAAATAGTATCCACTCATCTCACCCATTTTGTGAGATGCTCAACAAGATAACATATAAATAAATGCCCTGGTATAGCAGTTGTTTGAAGTTAAAGGAAAAGGAATGAGTGTGTTTGTGTGTATGTTTGTGAGTATTTGTATAAAGAAGGGGAGGAGACCCGAAAACTCTGTGTCCGTGTCAGGCGGTCTCCCTGAAATCACATTCCAATCCGGCATTAGCATTTGACACGTTGGCTGTTATCCATCCATAACACCTTTTGTTTTATATTGTACCTCAAATCATATCCAATCCAGGATCTCCAGACATGTAGGAAATATCGAATAGCCCATTAAATCATGACCCCTCGACAATTTAGTCAAGGGGGAGAGAAGTAGAGCTTAAGTCACGTGGGTGTATACATGTGCGTATGTCGCACGGGTGAAATTATTATAAAATGAAAGAATGTCGAAATGGGCGAGAATCTGTAATAAAGTTATGTAGAGAATCAATGGGGAGTGCTCCCTTCCCAACTATATCGCTGATTGGGAATTTGCGGAACATGAATCAAATCCAGTGCTGGGTCGATCCGTTCTTTTCGTATCGGCGATTCCGATGTGGTTGGCGAGGCCGACTCTAATTCTGCTACCGTAGCCGGGAGCGGAGGTGATTGTTGCGAGGTTTGTATTGAAGTTCCCTTGTTGGCGCTAGACCATCTGGACTGGAGCTTTTGTGATAGTTCGGCTTGTGTTGCGGTTCTGACGGTTTCCAATACCTCCGCTATCCGGGCATCTTCCTCAATTGTAAAATTACTTCCCAGTGTGTCTTCTGCTGGGTCATCTGAAGGTTGAAAAGTTGGTAATACGAGATTGAAGCCTCCGGGCCCATCCATCTCCGGCCTGGGGCTTTGTCCGGGTAGCATAATATTCTCGGGGATGGGGCCGAGACAAACCACCTCGGTAGGATTGATAGGTGTTCGTTGGACTCGAGAGGGACCCCGTTCGCTTGATGAAGAGTTGGGAACAGAGTTTGACCGAGTCGTGAGGTTAAGCTCTAGGGATCGCTCGCGATAAGTACCGCTTGAATTGCCTCTCGTGAGAGCAGTAGGAGGGAATTTAGGGGTGACCACAGAGGTCACCATGGTCATTGGGGACGGCACTTGGGAGATATGAGTAGACCAAGTGTTGTGTGGAGAGAGCGGGGATGGGTCGACACAGGCGTTAGATGATGACCTCCTCATATCGGGGCTATTTTGGTTGGGGGATGATTCCTGTTGCTCGCCTTCGTAGCCGTCTTTAGCATCATCTTGTCCCTTCTTTTCCAGTGCAACTTGATCCCAATCGCCTGGTGTATACGCAGGAACAGGTCCTGCCAGTTGGCGGTCCATCTTAAGCCTCGTCTGCTCATACGGGCTGAGTGGATAAGCCTCATCCAAGCCAAACCCAACCTCATGATCGACAATCCAGAAGTCGTCGGAACCTCCCGTGTCGCCATCAAGCTCAGCAGGAGGTCGACAAGCGGATAGCTCGAAAATCTCATTGTTGGGGGCCTCAATCGGTACCGTCTTGTCGATAGTTTGATTTTTCGGCTGACTACTTACTCGCGCAGGAGCCACCTTGCTCATGATACGAGAAAGCCCCGATCTACTTGGAGGAGTGGCAATTGTAGCGTCTGTTAAAGAGGTTGTTGAGAGCTTTTCCGAGTCAGTATCGTTTTCATGCTCAGGTTCACGTCCACGTTCATTCTCATGAACTACGTGGGTTTCAGGTTCAGGATTTGACTTCTTCCTACGAAGACAGAACCAAACGACCGAGAGAACAATGGAACCAGCCACAATTACACCAACAACGATACCAGCAGCGGCACCTTTGGAGAGTGTTCCCTCGGATTCGGCTCTTGGAATAAGAGTGAGCCCATCGGCTTGCAATTCAGCAGTCATCCTAGGTGATATATGTTAATACATGTTAACAAAACGCTGGCTTGGCTCGCAAATACAAACCTTTCACTCAACATCGCCCGGCTAGATCCGGAAGGCAGAGCGTAGACATGACTGGTCAAGCCGGCGAAGGCAAATAGGTAGAGAATGTGGGAAGCGGAGCCGTGTCGAGGCATGGCGCCACAAGATTTTGTCGTCGACATATTGACTTGCGACGACTAGATGAGGAGTTGTGAGAGAACGGGCCGGGAGGCTTGGGGAGCTTGACCTGACCAGCTGGTCGACCCTGGCGCAATGCCCCCCATATGAAAAGAACGGAATGTGTTTTCAAAGCGAGAGTAGTTGAAGGTGGAGCTAGTTGTCGGCAAGAGTTGTCTTGGGTGAAATAACCATCGTCCGTCCCCAATCAAAGTTGTCGTCGGTAGAGCCTGGTGTCCAGCCGGAGCCCCTCTTACGCCCGTCTGGTGTCGTGAGTATTATTAGTGTCGTCGGTCGTGGTCTCGACTATCACCACAGGTTGTGGTATCGGGCGCGTGGTCGAGGATAGCAAAAGACAAGCAGAAAAAAGGAGGGGAAGGATGATAAAGGAGGTCAGAAACAATTGGGTGAGCAAAGACAGGCAGACAAGAGCCTAAGCTCGCATGAAGTCACCAGAACAGAGGAACACAGCAGGCCAGAACAGCGCGCACAGGCCTCGGAAGTGGACGGCCCTTTGCGGTCGGTCTGAGACTCCGCCCAGCTGGCTGGGAAAGACGGCGGGTGGTGGTGCATGCGCGCGGTGGTGGGCACGCCAGGATGGATCAAACAGGGGCAGAAGCAGGGATCGTGACATGGAGGTCGGGTTGAGTGCAGTAAGTCTGGCACACCACCAGGACAGGACAGGACAAGCCAGGACAGGAACCACTGAAGCACCCGCACCTACCTGCAGCTGCCCACCTGTCTGCACCGTACCTGCCTGCACCTGTGCACCTGCGTAGGAGGGGAAGGGGCGAGAGGGGCGAGAACGGAGAGAGCTCCTTCTCAGTTCTGCCTGCCTGCACTTTTGAGACTTCAGACCAGACAGGGACCGGCGCTCTATCTCACGAACCTCGCTCCCCGTTCTACTGATTTGATTCACGCACACGACCACCAACGCATGGGCTGCAGGGGTAGCGCAAGTATTCACCAACGCACAGTAGCTAGCAAGTCAAGTACTTCAGGAGATAAAGGCATCACCAATATTAGGTGCTGATCATCCAATATCATCCTCGACGGGCCTGCATCACCGGATTCTGGGCCAATATGACTGCATCAGTTGGTTGGCGACGATGTAGCAAGTAACTTTAGTGGAACCCCTGTCAATCTGCAAACCCCATAATGCTTCTGCTCTGTGAGGGACAGTTGAGATGAGGCGCGATGCGGCCGCCTGGGTGCTTCAAACTCGATACTACCTCTCACTACCCTGTTAGGTAGGTAGTACCAGTACCTACTTACGGTTAAGGCAATACATTCGAGGTCAAGCCGATGAAGGCAATATTATTGCCCGATAACAAATTACATGATCCTAGCCCATTCGGCCAGATCAAGCTTTCACAATGTTTGATAGGCGGCGTAGCGGAGAGAGGCAGGCTCACTGGCGAAGCCGAAGTCGTGACAAAGCGTGAAAAGCAGACGGCCACAAAACCAGGAAGTATCCCCGGGCTATCGTCCTTGACGGGCAACCCCGTCCAGCGGATAGTGGGAACTTGGAAGTAATAGTAATGCTCAGTTAGGACTTGGTTGGCGATATTACTCAGACACCCAATTTTTGTATGTCCCGATTGGGCCCGAGAAATTAACAAGCCGCACTATATTTCACGTGTGTACCCAATAGTATGGTTCTTTCGTTGGCTGTGTTGACAACTTGGTGCAGTAGAGGACACCCTGCCATTGAATCATTAGTGAGACTACATGTTTTGTATTTGGGGGGAGCATTTGCATTGTTTCCATGATGCAGCCTACTAATATAAATATACAATGAGATGGGTCGAAATCGAGGCTCGCGACGGCAGTCTGTGCTCATGATGGCTGGGGCGGATGCCGTGCGAGGCCATCCTCGATTCCTAATGCAATATGGAAAGCAGATCCCGGCAGCTCTTGAGGCTAGTCAGTCATTAGTGCGGTGCCGGTGTCGTTCCCAAACGACCAGAAGCCAACGTCGAAGCTGACACGCGCCAAAACTTGGCTGAGGATCTGAGGCGAGGCTGGACCTGGCTCCCCGTGACGTTGGGTCGTCGATACCCGACCCTATCTTGGTACATGAGACTCCAACTGCGTGGCTTGGTTAGGGGGAGCCATGTGAGAGGATCTCGCCTGAGTAAGCTCTAAACGCTCAACGACGAGCTGAGCGCGCTCGCCTTGACAGTAAGGCTGAGTGAGCGCGACCGCACGAGAGCTCAGCACTACCTACCTGAGTGTTGCATCCGCCCCCTGATATGCAGACATTATGCGAGATTGACTGATTTCCTTTCTCGCTGTGCCATGCGCTGCCCTGGCCCTGCTCTTTTTTCCTTCTGGAGAGTGCCCCCCGGGCCGGATCAAACGAAATGAAGGGAAAGGTGGGGAGCAAGTCAAACGCACTGATTAATCCACCAGTGGCTAGCTGCCGCCTTGGGGGATTTGCCCATTCTCGGTGGAAGATGAAACTGGGCTTCAGAATCCGGTGAGGGACTGAAACTGGACGCTCCAAATGGCCAAGAACCATATGCACGTTGGCAGCTCTGCGTGTTTTGCCTGTGTATGGGCACACATAATATTGGAGGGAGTAGCGAGAGAGAGAGAGTATTACGCCCCTAAGCCATTGCGGATGGATGGTCCTTTGGTAGCGCAGCTTACATGTGATATGATGCTACAAGTTGTTGGCGCGTCCTGGTGCGTGTCTGGTTTGTTTGCTTTTGTCATTCCGGGGTTGGCGAAAAGGATGCAGGACCGTTGATGGGAGGTGAGTGGGGACAGTTCTGGTAAGTCAAGGTACGCGCATAGTAGCACGTTATACGAGGCCTCGAAGCAAGATCGACTCGGCTGGGTGCTACGTTGTACGTATGAAGAAAGTCGCCTACCCCATGGTTGGCATCCATTCTACTCTGAGCAGCTGGCACATGGGATCTGGAGTGCAGTGGCTCAAGACTCAATTAAGCTCGGTCCAGCGTGGCGAATGCACATGATATGTCGAGCTGCGAGTGCGAGCCCAGGCCCAGGGCTCCTGACACATCGAGCGCAGGGATCCGCGTTGCTCGCTGCCCGTGGAAGAGATCCCCCAACCTAATGCCTGGCTCTCATTTCGTGAAATTGGTGACACGTAGTAAAGGCGTCAGCCGATGCAACAGTTGGGGAAATATTGACTGGAATTATGGATATCGCTATCGTTCACGATTGGGGAGATTTGTTCATCGAATCACCTCGGCCCTGTTTTCTGTATGTTGACGTTTGAGGTTGTATTTCGAGAAACACGCGAGTTTCGTGGCTACGCAATCCAGGCCAGGGACGAGCAGAGGACCAAACATGCGCTTCCCACGTGGACCGCAATGTGGCGACCCAGGACAATGGTCAATCTCACGCCTGGCGGCATAGCATACGAGTACATACGCCTCGCCGTCTGCATGGTCTGCAAAAGTGCAAGCATGAGCCCTCATCTGGATACAGACGGGAGAGGAGAAGAGACCTCCTTTTCCTTTAGGCCTAGATTAATTCCCCGAGTCCGGCAGTGCAAAGAAGGTCACTGGTCAGCCTGGATATTAAGATCATCAGATTCCGTCCGTATTGTGAAACCCACCACGGCGGGGCCAAAACGCTTCGCACATCGTAATACCGCCAGAACAGTTTAGCCGGGCGGATTCAAGGTGCGACGGGCTCATTGTCACTTTGACAGGTGAGACAGCTGGGCAGTAGGTCTCCCCATCTCGCGGGTAGCGGATGGACAGGACTTGACTGGTTGATCCCACTGGTTGGAGACAACAGCTATGTATGTGTGTTTGCCTGCTTCGGGGAAGCCTCTGCGTATTACTACTTCCCTCCAGGTGACGAACAAGGCTCTGAAGTCGAAACTGTAAGAAAGATGGGCCGCTCCGGCACAAACACCGTCTGAATCGACATAATCCTCCGTGATCGGTGCCAACTCCTACCAACTATTACGACACTTTGCAAGGCACTTCGTTGGACAGACAAGAGTCCGGTCGAGGAAAGAAACAGAAATCAAACAATACTATTTTTAGTGAATGTGATTCTGTAGATGACGGAGCAGCCGGTTGTTGTCCCTCACGACAATGAGTCGTCGTAAGACCAACCCCTCTAGCTCTCGTCGAGGTCAAGGCGAGCGATCGGCACCAGCCTCAAAGATTCATTGCCAGTAAAGGGGCGACCCAGTTGTCATACTTAGCAGCCACAAGCTACATCGAGACATCCGGATGATATGAATGTATTTGCAAGCAATGTTGGCCTTGAAGCGTCAAGTTGAGTATCTAGTCAAAAGGCATGTATCTTTCAGGCCTGAAAAGAGCCTCCCAATGCAGATGATTTTCAATGGCTCAAGTAAACTTCTAAGCTACTTCCAAGCAATTAACCAATGGTCTAAAACATCAAGTTGTTTAAGATTCGTTTCATTCTTTTGCTCCCAGGGCCTCTCGTAGAGGTACGCAATAAATCCCAATCCAACAGGTCAAGAGGTGCACCGTACTTCATGAACCTATAATTACAACCCTGTCATAAAGTACTTCTGGGATGGTTCAAAAACCGCGAGTGTCAAGCGCGAGTATCGCCCACCTTGTCTGTGTGCCACCCTATAACGAGAGAAGCGGTCGCCATCAAGTGTAGGATACCCTGTGAGCGATCAGTGCTCCTCAAATACCAGGGAATGCGGGGGAAAGGAAAGAACAAGCCTCCCAGTTGCAGACAACATATCATATAGGTAGTCTCTGGGTGTTGACACTCTTCCAAAGTTCACTCACATTTGGGAAACAAGGTCTTCACCTGTGTGTCATAGAGGTTATATCCTAGAAGTCGAAGCCATATCATACCATTGCTTGGAGTTTTGAGCAATAAATACATCAACCAATGTCCAAAAATTTGACAAAGTATGAGCAGATTTTGGTTTAGAGTCGTGGTACATAACTTACGAGAGACATGTACTCCAAATTTAGATACGGAATGTCACTCAGATCGGGTGTACTCAACCACGAGCTAGAACTGC